TTTTTGAAATTGAATTTCCAAAAACTATGTAAAATTTGGTGGAAGAACGTATTTGTGTGTGAAAGTTGAAGACAATCGTTGGAGGCTTGTTGAAGATAAAATGTATCATTTTTTAAAAAAAGTTTAATCATGTTATTTAAGAATATAGGATTTTTTTTTTTTTGTGACGTGATACTACATAGGTAGTGTATTTTAAATTTTGTATAATCTTTGACTTAATTTGTGAAAATCACATCCTCTGATATATCTAGCATTAACAAAAATTATTTTTCTTATTTGAGAATTTGAGAAAGAAGACCGATGAATTAGAAATGATGAATATAGAAAAACATGAGCTTTTAGGGCTGTGGATTTTTTAGTAACAATGAGGAAGAATGAGAGAATCGAGATTATGAGTGAAGGAGATTGAGAAGAGAAACATGGAGGAGAAGAAAAGGACTAGGACTGCGGTAGTGTTTTTGGCCTCACAAAGGAAAAAAAAAAGACAAACATATATGAAGGTGGAGAGAGTGTAGTGTATGTCCAATAAGAGGGAAAAAAACATATATACTCTTTTGTTTTCCAAACAAACCTTTAAGTAATTTTTTTTTTTTTTTGCTATTTAGTTTTAAATATATAGAAGTTTTAAAACCATCTCATAATAAAAAGAAAATATTTAAAATTGAAATGTAATCTTTGATATAATTGATAGATTAAATTAAAATTTTGTTTATTTAAAGTATAATAGATTTGATATTGCGGGATTTAGAGATTTAATTTAATATATGTAATTTATTTTTAATAATTTAATATTTTTAGTTTGATTGTTAATCAAATCATATAATATTATCGTCAAATAAATTGAATGCTAAACTATTCAAATTAAAAAAATAAAAATTTCATTAGTTTTAATTTATACAAACTTCTCTAACAATCTCTAATCTGATTTTTGTTTTTTAAAAATTAAATTTACAAATTAATAGCGTTACTCTAATGAATTAATTATTATACACATTTCTTATTGCACATGTTTAATGATTAATTATGTAGATTAAGACTGATTAGTGTTTGGCTTTGCATGCAAATACTAATCTGCCAACTAACTTTGGCATGTTCATAATAATCAATCATGGACAAAACTTTATAATTATAATGAATGAAACAATCAAGAACTCAACGATCAAGTGATGTAGAAACATATTAATGTGTTAAATGCATATTGGAGATGGTGGAAGAAAAATATTTTTTCTTTTTTGATAATTATATTGTCACTGTAAATGATTAATGTATGACAACCTCGCTCCAACTACAATGGGGTCAGTAACAGCTACGGCCATGGAAGATCAATAAGCCTAGGACCGCATATATATATATATATATAGTAGTCAAGTAAATAAGGGATATGTACATATAGATAATCACGTATATATTTCACCTACCATTTGATTTTTAGCCTTATTACCTACGATCTCCATATAGAGTTAGAAATAGTTTAAGTTGGAATTTTCTAGTAACTATTTTTTTTATTGATTTTATTATTTTTTATGAGTGTCATTATATTATTATTTCTATTAAAAAATTACGATATTACTGTTACATTATTATTGAAATACATATATCATTTAATTAGTAAATATATAGGTTTTCATTTTAATAAACTAATTTTAGGTTATTTGTAAAAGAAGTGTAAAAATTTTATAGAATTTGTGTTTAAATCTATTAAGTTGCATTTATTCCAAACATATTTTATTTTCGTTTAATGAATAAATGACAAAAATGTCTAAGTTTACTCTTATATTCTAAATTAATTTTGAATTAAAATATTGTTTTTGTTCAATATTTATGTCTTATTTTTATTACATTCGTACTCGTATTTTATAAATTAAAATTTGAATCAAACTCAAAACTATAGTCTCTAAACTCAGCATTGAATAACATCCCTAAGTTACTGTTTTTTTTCTTATGAATTTTTATGAGGGTTACTTTTCGCACACTTGCTATAAATAAACAACAAAAACACCTAACCTAAATTGGATATGAAATTAATTTTGAAGCAAAATATTATTCTCATTTAAGTTTATGTTTCATTTTGATTATTCTCCTACTCACATTCTAGGAATTAAAACATGAACTAATCTCAAAATTATAGTATGACATGCCACACTTCGGAGGAGTCACGGACATCGGCACACATAATTTCTTAATTAATATATACGTAAATTCACTTTATTCAACAATTTTGATTATATCGTCGTACATCTCTTATATTAAAATAAAATATTATTAGTTAAAATACATGAGCCATTTACTGTTAGATGTACTTAAAATAAACTAAGTTTAGGGAGTTCAATTAACCTCACATTACAAATTTTCAAAACACTCGAAAAGATCTTTGCACTGCCCTCTACTGATTTTAAGCTTGCTCTTGACTTTCCTAATATAAAATGAAGACGTAAATTGAAGCGAGTTTTACATACTCAGTATGAATGCAATAGTATTCTAACAACATATATAAAATTTTATCTTATTTTGCATTTTTGTTTTATCAATTTA